GAGAAACACATAATATCGGCCCTTTAAAGACATTTTTAGGCCTAAAATTTTGATTTTCTAAATTTAGACGGTGCAGAAAATCAAGGTCATCGTTCACAACTCCACGTTTTGTTCTCTGATTGGTCTGGTTGAAACTCCACCAGAGAAATCCCAGACGGAGCAGAGAAGAAAACTAGAACTGAACAGAACTGTGAAGGAAGGAAAGGATCAGGCTAGTTGTTTCTTCAAACTTTCCTGCTTAACAAGTGTGTGTGTGTGTGTGTGTGTGTGTGTGTGTGTGTGTGTGTGTGGCGCTGCAGCACCTGCTGTGCAGTGATCCCGTTAGCGATAGCTTGTTGAACAGACTCTCTTGTCAGCTGAGCCACCACTACGTTGGGGAAGCGATAGAGCATTTCACTGAAGAGGGCCACCAGAGCGATCTGAAGCTCTGAATCTGACACAGGGAGAAGAAAAAACAACGACTCAGCACACAGGTGGGAAAAAACTAAATTTGAGTCAATAAAATATTTTTCATCCACCTCTAAAGACAAACATGTTGCTTTTGCTTGTGTCTGTGTGAATTTATGTGTTTGTAGGGTTAAAAAAACAACTGTAGTTGAGATTTCAATAAAACTCAGTAATTACTGCATGCACAACTGATTAACTTTTGAAGTCAACCCATTCAATATGGCCACTATAGCTAAACAACTTTAACAAACAAACAAAAAAGTTATAAATCAGCCAATTTTACAGATATTGAACAAACACTTGGTTTACCAGGAGCTGAATATTTTCAAATTTTCAAATCTTTTCAAATTTTAACCAAAATGATTATAAATGCAGCATTTATTATCATCGTCCTGCGGGACTAACAATCCTGACTCTTACTTGTGTAGGCATAGACACGATAATTGGTTTCTACAACGATGAAGCCGGCGTCTCCAGTTCCCTGATTGGAAGAAAGGCTGGAAGAAGAGGAGGAGGAGGAGGTGGTACTGGTGACTCCAGCAGCCAGAGTGATTGCCAGTCTGGTGGGGTAGTACCGCCGAGACTTCCTCTGAGAGAAAAAATAAAAAAACATACTTCACATAACTACAGATAAATTTCACACATTTATTAGTTACTCTAAACTCTCTTGTAAAGGGTTTTATAGAGATATTTATCACATAAATATTTCTGTTAGAGCATTCTCATAGTATTTAATCAAAGGGTTTTTGTACGGAGGACCAAAACTGACATAATTAGAAATAAAAGCAGAAATATATAAATGGACCAATAAACAAAGCACTTAAAATGCTCCAGTTAAAATAAAAAAGGGGAATTTTACCTCATGTTTTATAATTTAACTTACCTTCATATTTATTTTTTCAGCTTAGGTCCAATAAATGATATATTTTTACATTTTTTTATATATTTATATATATTTTTCATGTGCGTACTTGTGCTGCCTTACTTTAGCTTTAGCTTAACATTTAAAGTTTATTTAAAAACAAAGGCAAAGAGGAAAACACTTACCTGTATCTTTGTTTTAAACTAAACCCTAAACTTTAAGCTAAACTTTAAACGCACAGTAGATCTGCACATGGATCCTGCTCCTTCCTGTTTATTGACCAATAGGAGAGGAGCTGACCCAAGAAGCTCCACCCACCTCTTTTACATAATGAGACAGAAATGCATAAAGTAAAGCAAAAACAGGAGACAGAAATGTAAAAACACATGGAAATAAAAG